CCCCCCCCTCCCTTCTCTCTCTCTCTCTCTCTCTCTCTTCTTTACGTGAGCGCGCTGTTCCTTAATTTTATTATCGTGAGAATCAAGCTAAATCCGATTGAGTTCCATCGTTTGAATTACTTCTTGACCAAACAACTCAACCATTTTCCACCTTTTTTGACTTTCTGCCTCCATTCACTCCCACCCACCCTTCTAGTCACCCTTCTCTCCCTCTCCTTCTCCCTCTCTCTATGGTCATATTCTCAAAAACGAAATTCAAGAAATGTGAGGGAAATTTTTTGTGACATTCGCAAAGGAATATGCCGAGCTTGAATGATTCTTTGTGTATGAACGATGAAAATGACCTCATTTGTCTGATTTTTCTCCTTCATTACGTCATGAGAGGGAAGATGAAAATGTTGGCAAACAGCCAGTGTTGAAGACTTTTTTAACATTTTGATGATTTTCATTGAATTCCCATAAATGGTTACGATTTACGGCTCATTGCTCTTTTGACATCTGGAGCCATAATATGACTACGACTATCCATTGAATATTATCGGAATTTGCATATAAGTTATGCTTGTGCTGCTCTTCATCATCTCTCATCATCATCATCATCTTCAAACCCAACTTTTCCTTTTCCGTCTGTCTGTCTGGCTGTCGTCGTCGTCATCGTCGTCATCCTCGTTGCCAGATGCGACACAAAAAAAACTTTTTTGAAGGACAAAAGTTTTATGTTTGTGAGTAATTAGATGCTAACATCTGCCATAAAAAACATGAAATGATGTCTTTTCGGATGGTCATCACCTTCTAATTAGCATATGTTAGAGGCAGTTTCCTTCTTTGCACACACACATATGAACTTCAGACATCTTACTTTCTCTTTCATCTCTTCGTTTCTCTTGAAAGAGTCTCTCTCCTTCCCTCTCTCCATCTCCTTCCCTCTTCATTCGAAATGATCTCCATTCTTGTGTAGATGAGCACAGAGAGAGAGAGAGAAAGGAGATGAAAGCTCTTGAAGAAAATGCTTTTTTCTCCTCTGTGAACAAAAAAAAATGGTCTGAGAACTATTGGTCAACTCTCAAGTACTTCATCTGAAGAATCATGGAACACACACACAGCCAATTCAAAACTTTTTTTTTTCTTCTTCATCAACTCTCTTTTCTTTTCAATTTCAACATTCGTCTATGCTTGACCGTTTATGGAAGATGTATGTGCGTGTGTATATGAATGTGTCTGTGTGTGTGTGTGTGTGAATGGATGGATAGCAATGGATTTGTTTAACTGTTAACATCCGTCGTCTATCTCTTGATCATATACATATTACATACATGCGTCCTACAAACCAGTACATGTGCGTTTGTAGTTTTCTCTCTCTTTTTCTCTCCTTTTCTCTCTCTCTCTCTCTCTTTATATTGAAAAAGCAAAGCTCAAACAAGCTTTTTCCTTTGGCCGGCATAACGAGGAGCGATATTCTGTGCTTTTCTCGCTTTTTCTGTCAAAGCCTTTCTCTTCTTCTGAATAACTTGTCTCACATAAATATTCAATTTTTATATTGAATATTCTACGTTCGACCATGTCCTTTAGTGTCGTTCAGTTTTTAAAGTTAATTTCGTTATAATAACTATACGTATAGTTAGTATATAGTATAAGTTGTTTCTTTACTCATTGATTGCGTAATTGCCGCCGCTACCACCCATTCCTCAATTCCTTCACTCCTTCAACCCCCCCACGGCAATTTGTTGTTCAAAACGTAAGCATAACGGATATACAAGTCTGTGTAGGAACTTTTCCTTTCCTTCTCTCTCTCTCTCTCTCTTGCCCTCTCCCTCTCTGTGTCCTTATATGAATTTCTTTAAACAGAGAGTTTCCCTCCTTCCCTCCCTCCCACTCACTAATCTCTTGTTTTGGCATTTCTCAGTCTTATTACAAGGCTTTGATGATCTGAAGAGAAACATTTACAAGTTTTCATTGGCAAATCTCCAAAAGTGCCCTAAGGGCCATGTGGCCACTTGTGCTCTCATCCTTTCCTCCTTTTTCTCTCACATTCTATTACTATCTAATACATAAACGAAGCCATAGAAATAGTGTCAGTTGCTGAAATTTGTTTAAAACATCACGTTCAATGAGCTGTTCCTCTCTCTCTCTCTCTTCGTCTTTCTCTCTCTCTCTCTCTATATCTCTCTCTCATTATCTCTTTATCCTCTTCTCCGAATCACAAATCTATTGCATTGCGCCGGATATCAAGATAAAAAATGAACATTTTTTCATTAACCTCTCTCTTTGTCTACCTTTGGTTGGTCTTCTCTCTCTCTCTCTTACTATCTCTCTCTCTCTTTATCGTTCATTAACTTCTTCTTCGTTGTCGTTCTTATACTCCCCCCCCCCTCCACAACCACCCCCCACAAGCTTTCCTTTCTTCGTCTGTGTCAGATTTTCTTGTAATTTAATCAAAAATTTCATTTTTTTTCTCCCATTTTCTCTTCTCTCCTCCTCCCTCTCCTCCTTCAAGCTTCTCATTGTTGTTATCCATTACATTCTCAAGAACATATCCTTCTGATGCTTCAAACAGTCCATTGCTCCTCTGAGCTTTGTTTTTTTCTTGTTGGCAAATCTCACAGATGAGAAGCTTGTCCTAACAATCTGCTTGTTCATTTCTGATATTTGTTTGAGGGATTTAAACAGACCATATGGATGAGTTGACCATTTAAAAAAAAAAGATGGAAAAGAGAAAAGGATTATCCAGCCTGACGCTTCTATCAAAGATATCTTCCGGTTCCGGATAGAATCGTCTTCTGATATAATCCAGTTCTGTTTCAAGTGTTTTTTGCTTCTCTCTCTCTCTCTCTCTCTGTCTTCCTCTCTCTCTACACTCTTCTTATACTTTACTCTATCTATCCCTCTTCCTCACCCCACCCAGCTTTTTATGTTAATTTGACGATCAATTTACCGCACGTGAGATTTTACGTGAACATTTAGTCATTCATACGCCTCATTTCACTTCAATAGTGCGTACAGAGCGGTTGTTTTCTCTATTTATTCTTTTCTTCCTCCTGACAGCCTCCAACCGATTGCCAGATTCATTTCCATATTCAAATATCAATTCTATACGTTCATGTTCATCTAATCATTCAGCAAACTTATTCGGGTTTCTGTGATTTCGTAATTTCTGGCAGTCAATGATGGAAGAGCTTAGAAGTTAAGTCTTTGGGCTCTCTAAGTTGGAAATGGTGGAATCTGTCTGATTGACATTCAGCCAGTTAGATAGCCAAAACGAGAAGAAAAGAGACTGCTAGAGTATCAGAGAATTCAACAAGAGAGTATGTCTACATGTATGTATCTGTATGACATAGAGAGAGAGAGGGAGATAGACAGAAAGAGAGAGAGAGAGACCTTCTTTTCACTTAAGACGTTTGAAACCAATTTTTTGAGCCAAAATTGGTCAAATTCTGGCTGTTCAAAAGATCTTTTCATATTCAAATTAATATGAACTCAATGTGATCATCTGGGGTTTTTCTTGATTTTTTTTCTTTTCTCTTCTTTTCTATTCTTTTCGACCCCACATGTGCATGAGCACCAGAAATCCGATCCAGCAGATGCTTCATGTCATCAAGCTCAGCTCATCGCTGTCTCCACTCACTAATCTCTCTTTTTTTTCTTATTTTTTATACAATTAGTTAGAAAAAAGTTATAATATAGCTTATTATAATCCATATAACTTGTTGGCCGTCAATCATGTGTTGAAGATGGAAAGATGAAGAACAACACCGATTTTCAACTCTTCCCTCACACCCCATTACTCCACATTTCAACTCCTTTTGCTGCTTATCGCTCTTCTCTCTCTCTATGCTTCTCTCCCTCTCTTGCAGCTTCTCTCTTATCACAAGGCACATCTTCGTTTTGAAAACTTTTTATTTTCCTTTTCTCAGACATCTTTATCGTTTTTCATTTGGAACGACAAAACATTCTCTATCACTTATTGATTTATCGCGTTTTATCATAACATTCAGATGGGCTTGGTCTATCCTTCTAATTGCTTTCTCTCTTTCTCTCTCTATGTCTTTCTCTCTTCTTCTTCACCTTTCCCTTTCTCGTAATCAACCGCTCTGCACATCTAGTAACATCTTAAATGAATTTCATTCGACTATCCTCCTTCACGTGAATATTCCACGTAAAATCTCATATTCTAATGTTTCTCACCTTATCTTCTATTTGATGATTATCGATTTAATGTTCATATGTGAATGATCGTTCTTGTATGAAAATGGTGTTTCATGAGCTTCGTTGCGTTGAAACATGTTGTTGCTACCTGTGATTCATGTGATTGTCGGTTAGCAAAAGACGAAAAAGGAATGTAAAAAGATTGAAATGTTATATAAAAATTTGAAAATTCTGAATGAATCAGAGATTCACATGAGAAGGAAGGAGAGATGGTGTTGGTTGGGGGCTTTTTGCCCGTTTGCATCATGTTCTCGTCGTTGTCATGATCGTTCCTAGTGGTTGTAGTAGTAGTAGTAGTAGCAGTAGTAGTAGTGCATCTCTCTCTCTCTCTCTAGTCTCTCTCTCCTCTCTCACAAAATTCATTTTTTCAACTTTTCAAATGAAAAGTTTGATGAGAGGGAGTGTTATTGAATAAGTTATTGGATAATTAGTCCATATTTGGATGCATAATTAACTATATTATAAATGGTTAAAATTGTGAAATGAAAGAGAATGTAATAGACAGTATGATGAGGTTCATTGACGTCGAAGGACAGACAGACGAGACATGGATGACTGTCGGCACTTGCTTGCCCTCTTGTTGCTGTTGTTGTTGTTGTTGTTTCGCTCATTTAGCAACTTCAACTGAACTATCCAGCCGATTGCACTCATTTCCATATTTCCATATTTAACCATATACGATATATGGTTAACCATACGATTTAACTGGAACTATTGCCTCTCTTTTCATTTCATCTCTCACTCTATCTCTATTTCCTTCCCTTCTCATACCATTTCATGCCTTTGATTGAAGCCGCTACTGTCTGAATGTCATCTGAATCAACTGAAGCTTCGTCTCTCTTTCTTGTTTTATTAACTATACGTATTGAAAGAGAATATTTAACTATATGTTGTTCGTTTGCATATTTTAATTTGTGATGTCGTCATGAAATGTCTCTGAAATGCAAACTGTTCGCATTGTTTCATTCCGATCATATATGTTTTCATCTGTTTATTTGAAAATAATCCGTTCCTCCCTCTCCAAGCCTTCTATTTTCATTCTCTCTTTACCTTTTTATGTGTTACGTAGAGCAGTAGAACATCTCCGTCAAGAGCAACGGAGCAGCGATCATGACGATGTTGTTTATCAACTGACTTGAACGCCGATCTGTAGCCGATCGCTGCTCCTCTCACTCTCTCTCTCTCTCTGTCTGAAGATGGAAGAAGAGAAGATCTTTCCCCACCCTCCCCTTCTAAAGAAGAAATTGAAATTCTTCTAAACCTGACAAAGTCTTGTATGATCTTCTTTCCGTTCGTTCCTCTCTCTCTCTCAATCCTTCTACAGCTCTTTCTCTCTTCTTCTCTGCTTCTCCTTCATTTTCTTCAATCCTTTCGCTTGCCTAATAATCTCTTCTGTTGACCCTACGACGAAACATTGTGTAGCTTCTGCTTTTACGTATTAGGTGACCAGAAAGTCAAAGGAGCTTCTCCCTCTCCTTTTCATTCGGCTCAATCTCATCCAACTTTATTTCTTTTGTAATCATTTTAATATTCAATTTCATCTGTTTATTTGTCTCTGCGTTCTCATGTCCTTTCAGTATACTCACCTTTTCCTTTTGATCAGTCTCATACCCTCACTCCTCCCTCCCTCCATCCTTCTCTCTCTGCCCAGTTGGCTGTATGCTCATACTTCTCTCCATGATTTAGTTAAGAAGCCATCTAAAGACGGTTCCACGAAGCTTTTCTGTGTCCTCATCGTTCTCTTACGAGCTTCTTCTGTGTCATTGTCTCATCTTTGACAAATTACCAAAACTCTTCTTCTTCGTCTCCTTTTTTTGCCAGACAAATCGCTTAAGATCTTTTGACCCGCAGCTTCGTCTCTGATTCTCATCCTTCTCCCCCCCTATACCCTCCAACACCCTCTACTCCTTCTTCTCCCTTCAAGCAGAGCATCGATGTTCTGCTATAATCACATATTTAACAACAATTTCCTTATTTGTACATTCTTGTTTTACATTCATTTCCATATGTTACATTCGCTGGCTAAGTGTTGATCTCTTATTTCCCCCATTTTTTCTGTTCAAACTCTCTTGTCTCTCTCATGGCTTTCCATTCTTTCTCACAGTTCAACAAACAAAAATTTTTTGTTTCTCTGCTTAACAAGCATCAGTTGCACATGAAGAACCTACTTCCCCGCAATCCCCTGTTGAGACATGTAAAACCAGGAGCTAAGAACCTCTACGTAATCGGATACTCTCTCTCTCTCTCTCTCTCTTCCATATTCTCTCTCTTTCTCCTCCTTTCTCGTTGCTTCATAAACTTTTCTGCCTTGTTTGGATTAATCTATTCTATTTTTTTCTTTTTTTGGATATATATCTGCTGCAACTTGATCTGCAACCTACCCCCCTCCAACCTTCATCTAAGTATAGATTCCTATAAGCTTATCTCTGACTATACATACGTCGTCCCATACTGTGGTGGTCCAGTAGTGTTCCTTCTTCTTGCTCGCCTTCTCTTCTTCAAACAGTACTTCGTCCTGTTTTGGCTAAAGAACTCCAAATATTTTTTATTTTCTCTTCCTCTTCTTTTCTATTCGACACACACAAAATCAAAAACAAATTTTTGACAAGAAAAGCCTTTTGGAAGATACTGTCAACAGTGTGGTGTTCTCTCTCTCTTCTTACTATTGTCTTTGCTTATTTGACTGTTCACTGTGTTCTTCTCTTAATTGGTTACTCTATAAAGCTTTTGCCAATTCGTCCTCTGACAATGACGATGATGACACGCACGGAATTTGTACAGACGCGCCAGCTGCTACCTTTTTCGTTTTCTCTTCATGCTGTCACTCTCTCTCTCTCTCTCTCTCTCTATCTCTCTCTATCATTCTTTCAATCTTTCTCCCCTTCCTAAGCTGGAATTTCCCTTCAGCACAAGTTTTCTCTCATTATTTCTCACCTTTGATCCTGTACACGAAGCCATTCTGATCACTTAGCAATGACCTTTCATCCATATCTCATTCGCACATTCGCTTCCAACCATCATTCGTTTTCATTCTTTTCGTGTTAATCGTTCTAATGGTTTTTTATGTTTCAGATGTCCTCCTCATGCAATGCTGGAGGTGTTGCATACCCTCCTTCCCTTTCCGGACGGCTTTCTTCCGGAGATATGGTCATGACGGCCCCAAGTTCATCTTCTACAGACTCCGCCCACTTACATCAGGTCAACGTCAGACCCCGCCCTCAAGTTCCACCAAAGCCTCCCATTGACACAGTTCGATATAGTATGAATAATTTGAAAGGTAAGCTTTCTATTAATTAAATTTAAAATAATATTTTGTATTTCAAACCATTTTCTCTCTTATCTCTCAAAGCCCTTTCAATTACTGTTATCATACTCTAATGCTCTCTCCCCTCTAACATGTTCTCTAGCACGTGTGTAGGGCTACCCATGGTTGCCCTTTCTTCTTCTTACTAAGGCATCCTATTGATTAGTTGCTTGATTAATTATATTTCTAAAAAAAGCTTTTCTTTCTATTCTCAACTCTGTATACCCTCCTTCTCTCTCTCTATCTCTCTCTCACTGTTCATAATCGTTTCTCACTCACTGATTTACCACCAATTCGCAGAAGTTTATGTCGTTTAACTAGGAACGACACTCTTCTCACATATAGTTAACTGGATATGCATAGACCAGATAGTTAACTATACATGTTGTCTCTACCTTTTCTTCTCATTCACTTCCCCTTTTCTTTGCATTGACAAGTTTTTATGAATTAGGGAATAGGAGAAGACGGAAGGACAAGCTTCTGAAGTTGCACTTACACAATGCTTGTGCTCCAATCCATTCAACAGTTTGTTCTTCACAACATATATGGTCATCTGGTATCTTATGCCTCCTTTATACAAACAATTTTTGTCTGACTAATCGTCTTCTCTCGATCTCACTCTGTAGGGTTACTTGTCAAATCGAACATCTCTTTTCACGTATCTAATGCTCTCTGCCTGTTTCCACCCAATTACGTTCTTCTCGTTTCTTGTTTCTGCGTCAGCTTCTTCTTCTTCTTCTTCTTCTGTTTCTTCTTTACTCCCCTCCATCTCCCTTTCATTCTTCTACTAACTACTTACTCTCCCTCCCTCCCTCTCTCTCTCTCCTTTCATTTAAACACTTCCAAACTTTACCCATATTATTATGCTCTTGTGGCCTTTTCTATATACAAACAGTCATATAACCTTATATGGCGATGGTCTTTTCTCTCCCTTTTCTTGTCTTTGACTGATTGATTACTTTCCTCATTCTTATTTCATCCCCTTCACACACTCCCATCGTAAAGCCTTTTTTGCGTCATTTTGCAACCTTTGTCACCTTTTGATTATTTAAAAACAAACCAACTTGCGATTTCTGTATTGGCATCTGAGTCAACGAGCGTTGATGTGTGTCTCTTCAGATGCTCCAACACCTGTTGTATTTTCTCCATTCATCATCATTCATTCAATTCCTCTTTCTTTTTCTCTTCTTTTTTTTTGTCTCTCTTTCACATCATCCCTCTCTCTCTCTCTATCTCTCTATGTCTCTCTCTCTCTCTCAATACTCTCTCTCTATGATTATATTTTAAGAAAAATTTGCATACTTAACAATCTATAATCGGCTTTAACTGATTGAAAATATAAAAATCTGATAAGATTTCACTTCTGGGAAAGCAAATAAGAGATAAGCTTATACATGTTGTCTTACCAGAAACACATCGAAGAACGTCGTAAGTTTCTCCTTTTTTGTCTTTTAAAACAAACAATGCCTTCTGCCATCCTCATCTCACCACCATCCATTCCTCCGTCCACTCTTCCTCACCTCACCTCACCTTCACATTCGTTTATCAAAATTGCTTCGGTGATTGGAGCAATTTGTCATGACGACCTCCTCCTTCGTCATCTGAAGGTCGTTCTTCATAATTCCTTCAATTGCTTTTGCTTGTAATCATTTCGTTGTCTTCACTCACTTTACCAATCGTTTCTATTCCTTCATCCACCTCTTGTTTCTTCCTTCATCTTTCTCTCTCTGTATCTCTCTCTCTCTATCTCCTTCCCTTCCAAAATCAGAAAAACAAACTTTAAAAGATAAAAAGCAGAAATCAGGGTTTTCAATCCATCTTCTACTTCTCAAACTCATAAAGCACCTGTTTCAGAATCAAACGAATGGCAGCTGGATCAGCTTCTGGAGGAGCTATCTGCTCTAGAAACACAGCTGAATTCATCTTCTGGCGATCAGCTGCTTCTTGGAATTCCAACATTGCCTCAAGCATCATCTAACTCATCAGGAGCATCAACAAATAAATTATCAAATGCGACGACGAGTCAGACGATAACTTCTGATATTCACACATCCAGGGTACGTTCAATTGTTTCTTCCCCCCCTCCCCCCCCCCCCTCCTATCCATCCAAAGGGTTAGAGGACGTAGATGGCCTTCTGAATTTGATTGATTAACGTCACCCAGTTGTTCATTTAATTATTTCATTAATTAATTTCATTTTTTCAAAAATTCTTTTGCACCTTTTTTTTCTGAACGGATCAGCATCATCTTCCGTTCGTCTTCTTCTTCTTCTGTCCCCGATTTTGACGTTTAGTTTGAATCTCCTTATATGCTAATGAGGCCAATCACTCTACCGAAGTAGTCGCGTGTCAGATTGACATTTCTCTTCAACCTTCCCCCCCCACAAGCCCTTGCCTCAGATTTTTGTTTCATTTTCATCAGAATAATTGCTTACGGCAAGCAGCATATAATGAACAGACTGTCCGTCAATGGCAATTGCAGAAATTGATCTTTCCTTCCTCTCCATCGTCTTCTCTCTCTCTCTTCTTCTTTACCCTCTTCACACCATACCTCATTATATGCTTTTGGCTAAGGACATGGCTCAGATAAGACGTCTGCTGCATCAGATGAACACGCAAGATTCTTTGCCAACAGAAGTCTTTTATCCACTCTTTCCCCTCTCTCTCATTCTCATCTACTCTATCTCATTGGACATTTGTAAGACGTCCGCCAATTAAGGACTGTCAACGTCTGAGGTCTGGTCTGTTCGTCTTAGAGCTTTAGCAAATCATAAATAGACAGAAAAAGAAAAACCAATTGTAGAGAGAGACAGAGAGATAGAGAGAGTGAGGAAGGGAGAATATGAGGGAGAATAGAAGGATTGTAAGGGTTAGAGGCTTATTATCTGGTCAACAGCTAATCTCATAATACGGTTCTCGAGGTTTTCACTCGTAATTCTCACATAGACAGCAAATGGTTGTTGCCAAATGAGGCGAATTGCTAAAGATTGAGTTATTGGCCTGATGAAGATCATTCGCAGTTGAGTGCCTCCTTTGTAATGGAATTTACAATGAGTAAGAAGCAAAGCGAAGAAGCTTGTAAACCATTGATTCATCACATCATCAGACTCATCTTCCATCATCTGATGACATGACATGTCTGGGTCAAGTAGTATTTGTGTCAAATAGTTAAAGTAAACAAATAATATAAAAAACTGCTTCAATTGCAGGTCAAATCCCTCTCATCCAAATCATTTTCTCACGTTTTTGACCTTTCAACAATGGATGAAGCCTAAGACTTTGCATAACCTGCCAACCTTCATCCCCCTTTGCGCACAGGAGAAGAGAGCCTCCTCTCCTCTCCTACCACCAGCTCTCATCCATCCCATCCCACCCATCCTGTATGTAATTCCATATTTAGCCTAAATCCATATGAAAATGATTTGTTTTGAGAGATTGAGAATCTCCATTTTTTGCATCAATTGAGGGATTTGTACAGTTGGCCAATGAGATTGTTTATCGCTTATTGATCCATCAAATTCTTCTGGTTCGCTTGTCTGCTCATCAGGTTATTCGACTGCCTTTACCCTCTCCCCCCTCTCTCTCTCTCTTCTTCCCATCATTTACCTCAATTTTCCTCTCACTTACCTCTTTCCCTCTCCTCCCTGCCTCTCTCTCTATAACATTGAATACCTCATTTCTACTTTCTGAATAGAGAAGAGTGTATTAGAGTTATAGATTTGATAGAAGAGATAGGAAGAGATAGAGAGAGTATGAGAAATGATTGATAAATGCAACTGATGAAGACATGATGTCCTAACCTCATCTAGTAACATGGCCTTGTATGCAACTTTGCCATGCTAATCTGTCTCTTTACGTATTGGTGAAAGGAGAAAAGGGACAAAAAAGGTTATGAAGAGGGAAGATGATTGAGTACTATAAAGGTAAAAGTGTGATCTCAACCGTTTCACACGCACTACCAATGACGTCAAATGAAAAATGACGTGGACATGGTTAACGTGAACATATAATTAGCATACAATATGATTATAATTGAAGTTGAAGATATCTTCTCCTGTCTCTATCCCCCCTCTCCCTACCTCCCGGGTTTATAATCTTCATTGACAATACAGTTTCATTCTTCATTTCAAATGATTTCAGATTGTAACAGCACCAGCCTTAGCTTCATCCTGTTCATCTCCTGATGGCGATTCAGCGTTTGGAGACAGTTCATCCACAGAATCAAGGTAGTCAAGAGATAATCTCTATGTCATCATCATCATACTTTATTTAAGAAATAGAAATAGTGCTTTTTCATCATCCAATGACAGCTGTCGTGATTCATTACATACTCCAAGTCCAACACAGGTACTTCATTTCATGATATTCAACCATTAGCTATATGATATAGTATAGAAGAGAGAGAGTGTTGTATAAGAGTTGTCTATATGCTAATTGAGGTTATACAGTATCATATAAGAGTAGAGGGGTTTTCAATTTCTGTTACAACAACAACAAAAAAATATTGTGGCCGACTCATTATGACGTCATGATCGACAAAAAAGGTCTGGCCACGTTTAAGTGTTGTTTCTTCTTCTTCCTTATTTATCCAACAGATGTTAAGAAGTTATAAAGAGAGACATTGGCACAGAGAGAGAGAGAGAGAGAGAGAGAGAGAGATCACAGAGAAAGAGAGGAGGGTTAAGAAAGACAAAAGAAGGTTGAACAGCTGGTGTTGTCATTTCTCTTAGTAGGACACGGACGATACACAGAGAAACAGCCTTCACCTTCTATCGTTTGAACAACTTCTGGAATATTTTAATTTTCATAAATGCTTACGAAAGTCGAAAAGAATTGAAAGGGAGTGAAAGAGATGATGATGAAGACAACAACCTCTCTCTAATTACATGAACATGGTTCTTCATTCTCCCTTTGTATGGTACTAGTTGTCCATCTCTCTATACCTTCCTCCCTCTCCCTCTCTCTCTCTCTCTGTAACGGGTTGTCAGCATGTTGTTTCGTTGTAAAAAATGATTTAACAACTGTTGTTTCCAATAAGAAAGACATAAAAAAAACCTTTTCATAAAGAATCATTTGATTGATTGAATTACATCTTCCATCAGCTCCACGTATATGAGGGACTGGATAGGAAGAAACACGGCACACACACAGACAGAGAGAGGGAGAGAGAGAGAGAGAGGGAATGTACGGTAGAATAGGTGCCGTTAAGAAGTCTTCTAGAATATTCTATTGAATAGCCTTAAGGGATATCTATAATGCTTATAAATGGTCCTTAAAGATTATTTACCGCCAGATGACTTAAAGGGTTCCAAGCAATCATTTCCTTTTATGGCTATTAAAACCTTTGTGATGTATCAATAGCCTTATTTACCTGCTCAATTTCCCTTCTCTATGTCGGCTTATAACCCAGCTATAAGCAATTGAAGGAACGAAATTCCAAACATGGACATGTACGTGTCTACTTCTTCTCCCCATTGCATACCATACATGGCAATGCGGGTCACAGTAGTCGAAAGTTAATAATTTAATTAAAAGGCTTATATAAATGAATATAAGCTGTCTTTACAATAGCTTATTTGGCAATCTGCTAGTGGCGCTAAGATGAAAGGGCTGACCGACAGCATGCCACAGCAGGCGAATATGTTCCGTTGTATTGGCCATCAGACTTCTTCCTTTCTTCTTCATCTTCTTTCTCTTAGTTCACCGACGAGGTTATGTTGGCTGACCGGCTTTTTCGGCTTAACACAAAGAAAGTGACAAGTTCATTAGAATCAAATATGATTTTGATTGAAAAGCTGCAAATAATTGTTGTTTTGCACCTCCAGAGCATAGGTCTGATGATGTGTAAAACACCTTTTCGACCACTCCTACTACAACTAGTAGGATGAGTTGGTAACAGTAGTTAACAAGGTTGGGTCTGATCACTTCTCTTGTACTACTCATATCACGTCACGTGAAAGTGCCACGTATAATGCTCCCACTCATCATTCATGTTACGTGCAGGCTGATGAACGGTTGATTGTTCTGTTACAGTTTCCATATGGAGCTCTAACTAGCACTCACATTCATTGTTCGATGTTCAAGTGGAGAGGGAGAAGTGAAAATGAAATTGAATTAAGGTGTTGACCCTTGTAGACAGAAGGAAAAAAAGAAAATTCATAATTAGATTTGTGGTAGCATGTTTGGAAGCAAAACAAACTGATTGATAGACATGAAGAATGCCTTTGAATAGTAGAGAGCTGTAGAGAAAGAGAGTAGGTGGGTGACCTTTTAAGGAGAAAAAAACTTAACGTGAGGGTTACGTAGTAATTAGCATAATCAAATTCTTCGACATCTGTCCACCTTCGTCATACGCATAGTTAATAGAATAGAAAACGTTTTGAATGGGACAAAACGAATGAAGAAGTTTTGAATTATTTGATTCAAATGGGTTGAATGACATGTGTGTGGGGTGAGGGAGCCTGTCTGGAAGGGCGAATGACGATGAAGAAGGAGAAGATGTGTGTGGGATTGTGTGAATCATAAGATTCTCCGGATGTTTTTGATCGTTCTCAGACAAGAATTGTTTGAAATTGAGTTTAATGTGATTTGTGATGAAAGGAAATCGGTTGACCACCAACGTCGAAAACTCTTTTATGGTGTTTGCCAATTACAATAGAATCGTTTTTCAGATATCTCCACGATCGACAGAGTTGACGCCTGAAGAAGTCAAAGCGGCTAAGATCAAGCAAGCTTTGGAGAAAATGAAAGAAGCTAAAGTAACAAGGATATTCGTCAAATTCTTTGTAGAAGACGGTGCACCACTACAGATGCTCGTCGATGAGAGGTGGACTGTCTCTGAGGTTTGAACAACATAATCATCATCCTATGCTCATCATATCCTTTTAAGGCCATGAAACAAGTAGCTGAGAAACATCAAATCTCATTATCAGAAGATCATTGTATCGTGGAAGAGTATCCAGATCTATACATTCGACGAATATACGAAGATCATGAGAATTTGGTTGAAAATATCCAGATGTGGCAACAAGATTCGCCCAACAAACTCTATTTCATCAGACGTCCTGACAAGTATCCGTTCATTGGTAAGCTGAAAGTCTCTCTCTTCACAAATTTAACTTATGTGCTTCAGATCGACCGGAACTATATCTGGTGACGGACAAGACGACAGACCTTGAGGTTCCTCAAGGAACAACCTGGACTCGGGAAGTTAAACAACAGTTCGTCGAAGAGTTCTTCAATCGCGACACTGTCGTGCCTCCTGAGATGGATGGATTCCTGTATTTGAAAGCTGACGGCCGAAAGAGTTGGAAGAAGTATTATTTCGTGTTAAGACCTAGCGGACTGTATTATGCTCCAAAAGGAAAGAAAGCTGTGTAAGTCATTGAATCAGTTAGCAAGAGCTCATCACCTCCGTTTAGATCGTCCAAAGATTTACAATGTCTCATGAACTTGCATTCCAATCAAGTGTATTCAGGAATCAATTGGTCTAAGAAATACAAATCGCCAACCGATTACTGTATTTCCATTAAGGTACGTCTGATTGAAGAAGTTGTCCACTTAACAATTTCATTTAGTTAACACAATTGCAAGTCAAACGATCACAGTACATCAAATACATCTGCTGTGACGATGAACCTACTTTCCGTAAATGGATTGTTGCTCTTCGAATTGCCAAGGTAACTCGTTCATTCACGTTTCTGATCTAATGTGTCTCTCTTCAGAATGGATCTTCACTCTACAACAACTATCAAGCTGCATGCGAACTTCGACGAAACGCTTTGAACGCTGCTCCATTACGAAACTCTGTCTTATCCAGAGTGGATTCAGCTTCTGTTCATGATAATCTCAGTGTCAACACTGGACATCACCAACAACCAGGATCATGTTCTTCAAGCCAACATGATCTTCGACTGCTTGCTTCTGCCAAAGCTATGCCTTCTCCCTCCCAAATAAGTCGAGTCAGTCAAATGACAACTGGAAGTGATCGGAGTGTCGCACAATCAACTTCCTTGGACGTTTATCCTGGTCATAACGTGTCCGGAAGTTGTTTGAATCTTCGTGACCAGTCCTTATCTTCCCTCCGATTTGATGAGCAACCAACTGGAACCATCAAAAGGGCGCCACTCGACGTTATTCGAAGAATGAGCCAAAGTTCTTCGAATGACAGAGCCAGCACTGCCGGAACTCCTGATGATGATTCTGATGAAGATTTCCCTGCTCCACCTCCCGTGTCTGCTCAGCTCAGTCGAACATCTACACCCGTTCAGGTAAATCTCAAACTAACGAGACGAGCAGTCTAACATCTAATTTCAGAATGGTGGTCCTCCGGCAGCTCCTCCAAAGCCAGCATACTATCAGAAACCTGCTGGTCCTCCAACTCCCGCACGTCAGACACCAGTCCAATCACCGACACCAATAGGGAATACTCCGAAGAAAGTGCCACCACCACCTCCGAAACGATCAGATGCTACTCGAATAGTATCAGCAGCTCCACACATGAACGATTTAGAAGCAGCTCTAGCTCGCCGACGAGAAAAACTTGCTCAGCAGGTCTGAACAAGTTTAAAGCTTCATCTGGTTATTTCTGAGTGAATTCAGACAATATTTGAATAGTTTTGTTGATTTTGTTCTTTGACGTTCTATTTCTCTCTCTCTCTAACATACAGACTCTTTCTATTTCTATTTCTCTCTCTCTCTCTAACTATCTCTCTCCAAATTTGACATTCTATGACTTGTTCACTCCTTCTTATCGTTTATACTACTGTTGATTACAATTCTTGCTCAAAGTTATAGTCAAAACGTGTTGTACATTGAGAAGAGCTCATCCATGTACACATTCTATTGACATCTATCTAATCATTTACCATATTTGTATATTATCTAAGTCAAATCAGCATATACGAAGGATGATCTATCTCTTCATATACGTCTACAGCTTCTGCCAATTGATTTCATAAATCAATTAGGCAGTGAGCATCTTCTCCCTCCTTCTCCTCCTCCTCCCCCCACAGTGTTGTGACCGGTGTCTTGCATGTTAGGAGCAAATAACGTTTTTTGTCTTGTTTCATAGAAACAAATTTTATATTTTTTCATTTCTTATTGCCATTCTTCCAAACAGTCTTTGTCCTCATCGTATTCAAACGTGTTACTTCTCTCTCTCTCTCTCTAATTCCCTCTCTAACTCTCTCTCTCTCTCTCTCTCTAACACACACACTCTCTATATCTCGTTCTGTTTGTTTCATAATAAGAAAATATATTATATATTTTATATGTTATATTTAATAGTATATTGTATATATTTGGATGTTTTACCTGACTGACCCTCCTCCCTCCCCCCCTCGGGGCTTGATCGCCTCACTCCTCCCACCACTTCTGCCTGTCATAGATTCATACAGAGACTTTCATTTGTTTTTAATAAATATTTCATTTTCATTCTTCATTTCATTTCTGATTGTTTTTTAATCAAAATTATATATTTGAGCACATAAAGAGAGAGAGAAGGAGAGAAAGAGAGTGACAGAGAAAGAGAGAGAGAGAGAGGTTGATGGACGGTATAGACTATCATCCACATGCTTACTCTATAGAAGGAGATTTGGATGAAAGAGAATTCAATATAGTATAACATATAAAGACATTTCAAATTTCCCGCTTCAGATATATATTACCCACAAGTGTACATACGAAAGAAAACATAAAGAGTGAAGAAGTCCTGAGTTGGCCATAAATGGTCATTTAACGATGATATTTCCTGGATGAAGTTGAATGATGCATATCGTCATCTCTCTTCGAAGATCCCGATGATATAGTTCGTTTATCCTTAAATGGACATTGAATGAGATATGTATAGAATTGAATAGACATTACATGTTCTCCATATAAGGTAAGATATATCGTTTTCCAAAACCTTTTTTTAATAACTTACATAGATTTGATCATTACGTTCTTCACTCAAATCCTCATCATCTTCTTCAATCATGTCATCGTCCAGATCCGATTCAGAATCCGATGAATCTTCTCGAACTATAATTATTCAAATGTAAGTTTATCCATTTTTCTTTTATGCATGATCATCAAGCTGAGTTGAGCTGTGAAGTATGAAATGAGAGATAAACAAGCGAACCAGCAGTTGTGCCAAATAGAAAATAAGCATGACGTGCAATTACCGTACTCAAATGCAATGGGCGAACTATAAAGCAAACAGACACATAAAGCATAAGCCACTTCCATCATTGGAGGAATCAGAACCATAAGCTTCTTCTTCTACTCCATGGCTAGCGATTGCATATACAAGTTACCTAATATTCCTATTTTCTGACCCAACCAACGCGCTTTCTGCACAACATCATCTTGCATCAGCTTGAAACACATAGCGATCAGAGCCATACCGAACAGTAGGTATAAGGCACAGACTACGAGTTTCTCCTGAAGGTTTATGTTCATTGATAATTCTTGTTAGGGAATGACAACCTGTGATCCTTCGTCTAACGCTTGACCGGGTACGATATCACCAAATCCTATGGTACTGCAATGGGCATACGGTAAAGCTTATTAGTGGGGGACATCAAACCTTAGAGTGATGAAACAGTAATAAGCTCCATCAAATGGATTCCATCCTTCCCACCAGGAGAACAGCACAGCTCCCCCTTGAAGCAAGAAGTGTTCGGAGTATCGTCTCCCTTAACCTTACCTGATATGAAAGCGAACACGATGCATATTCCAACACTGACTGGCATCTTCTCATTAGTACGCGCGTAACCCTTTGAATGAAGAAGTAGAGCTCGGGGTTAGAAAGAAAACGAACTTGACGTCGTAGTGAGTGAAGGGACATCTCATCTGAACGCTCTGATCGATCAGAACGATATGATCTTCCATCCATTTCTCGTAATCTTCGGCTTGTGCTACTATCCATACTTGGTTGTTTCTGCTGCGGCAAATGATGAGCAGTGGGTTTTCTTTCCAGCACAACTTCGTCGTCGTCAGAAAATGATAACTAAATAAGGAAATTCATCTGCTGCTTCTTCCCTTCTAGCGAATACTTGTAAACTCGTTTCTTCCGTCCTCTCAACATCACTTCCAGCTTTTTCTTCTTCTTTTGTACGCGAAATGACCACATTAGGAAGTCCTTCCTCTCGTCTTCGTCTGCAATTGCATTTGTTCTCACATTATCAATCGTCATCTGAATACCTTTTTTCACTTGTTGAAGCCATCATCAGCTCTTGGAATGCTGCGGCTGATGCACCATAAGCCTTCAAGTCAACGACATCTGCGTCTTGATGGCCTCGAACAAGCAGCCCTCCTGAACGTTAACAGTTTCAGAAGAACATGTGAAGGATGATAAACCTTTATACTCCCTTGCTGGGCTTTCCGACACTGTGTTTCGTGTCCTACTTCTCTTCTTAGTTTTCCTATCTTCTAACTCATGTAAGTATATATGGTCCATATTGGTTGCTGTACTGGACTTTTGTAAATATCTTGAACTAGATTATATCATATAGTTAACTGTGCTAGTTCAACATACTTCTTATGGAACGTCCTAGGCATTGTTCCATTGGGACTCCGGCTGTTCTGACTGATCTTTCTTCGGCCGGGCAAAGACATTGTGTCTACGTTATGTCTTGAGGAAGCATCATATCTGAAGTTGTTGCTCAGTGTGAATTCAATAGCATGTGGGGTTACCTTCCAAATGAACGAACACTCTTACTATCACTTGGACGTGTTCTCCTATTCAAAGATGCATGTCTACGAACTGTGTTATAACGAGGATTTGATCTTGATGATTGAGCTGTAAAGAATGTTGTTTGGAATGCGGAAGTCGCGACTAGAAACCTCTGCGAATGTTGGCAGCAGCGTTAGGGTGATATCGGAAAGATAAGGCAGCTCGTCGTATTCTTCGTCGGTTCTAAAAAAGGGATCAAGAGTTCATAAGGTCGATAAGAGATGAAGCTTACTTTCTGCCATCTACAGTATGCACAACATATCTTGAAGTAGATGTAAGTGAAAATCTGAAATGAGTTCGATGAGGTGTACATACTGGCATGTAGGTGCATACCTGAGCTAAAGTTTCAGCGATGTTCGCTAAGCATAAAAGCATTAAGGGTATGCCAACCATGGCATAGAGGATTGTCATCAGACGCCCAGCATCAGTTTTCGGACATATATGGCCATAACCTGTAAGACATCTATGAATTCAATAGAAAAGTGCTCAACCAACCGATTGTTGTGAAAACAGTAATAGAGTATAGGAGGGCGCCAGAGAATGTCCATTGATATGTTGGCCGAATATCGTCATGTTCATCATAACCTTCAATGGAGGGTATGAGGATGAGCCTCCTTATATGGAAATCTCTTACCTTCAAAATTAACAGCTTCAACTAAAAGCTTTTCATAACGCTTAAATAGAAAATGAGCTCGATCGCGTACTTCTGACTCTTCAATCACAGAACTGTTTAATATGAATGAATACAAGTTGTGTACAACCTTAATCATACATATAGTTAGTGTGTGAGATAGTAGTTAGCATAATCTATTACCTGCCATGTATCGTTCTTGATGTGACCTTGAAATTCGAGTTCTTTCGGATATTCAATTGCCTGAAACAGGACAGCTTATGCTCATTGCTCCTCATACATGAAGCTTGCTGTAGCAGCATCTCATGTAGAAGAACTAACTTGAAACATGAATGCTCCAACTACAGCATATATGGCTACCATCATACATAATCCTACGTGTGTTAATGTGAAAGCTGTTGCCTATAACATTCGATATGTGTTGTGTTTGCATGTCCATACATGGAATTGATAGAGAGAGTGGGGGGGTTGTTTCACATATGTTTGAAGCTTCTGATTATGTATTAGCTTGAAGCTTCAGACAAGCCATCATCTTCATTTATGGCTCATGGATCATTTAATTGTTCCGCTTTGTGCATATTTGGCTATTCCATCAGATTTTATTTGATATCTTAGTTGATCAGCAGCTCAGCAAAGCTCTTTCTCTTGCAAAATTACTAGACGATGGACATTTTGAATGAGGGGAGAGGGAGTAGCGAAAGAAGGAAGTTGCTACTGCCCCGCTAGTGAGCTGGACGCTTCTAGTGCTTCATCTTCTAATTTCTTATTCTTCTTCTTCATCTTCTTCTTCTTCTTCAAAAATGAAATTGATAACTAAGTGTTGGAGAACAGAGGAAAGCTGTTTGATGGACAGTTAGGCGCAGTGAGATGGTGAAGAAGAGAAAGAGCCAGATGAAGATGTGTTTGTTTGTTGGAATTCACGCATTTACATCAAGCCTTTTAGTCATTTTAGAATGTTCTACTCTCTCTCTCTCTTTCATCCATAGATAGGAAAAGGCTTGGACCATTGAAGCTTTTCCTCTCTCTCTCTCTCTACATCACTCTCACACTCTCTCTCTCTCTATGCTTTTCTTTTTTTAAGTTTTATATGGGAGGAAGAAGAAAGAACAAGGAGATATCGATCACAGTATCTCTTGGGACATAACGTTTGCAAGTCCATTCTCTTTCACCCAAAACTTCTAACATCCTTCCACCAACTATCACAGCCTCCAGAGATTTCTCTTGAAAAGCCAATGTCGTCTTGTTTTACAACAAAATGTCTTTTGTTCCAAATCTTTTACAGGAACAATCAGTTCATGTTATTGATAGTAATGAGATATATAACATAGAGGGAGGGAGATAGAGGGAAAACACAGTTAGAGAGAGAGAGTTAGAGAGAGAGAGAGAAGAATAATCACAGAGGGAGAGAAAGGGGGAAAACAATGCTACTGTTTCTTAATAACTTACCCTTCGAATGAATGTCGTTATGCGGAGGCACCATGAACGAATTTCGTCTCTCATCTTGAATATATGGAATGTGGAAAGAGAACTCAGAAAGAGAAATTGCTGATTCAAAAATACAATTTCTTCTTTCACCCAATCGTTACGTCACCAGGCTCATCATATCGTTACCTGAAATAGAGATGAAAGTTGAGATGTAATGAAGTTAGTAGAGATGAAGATGAATCAGAAGAGAAGCTTGGTTGTGATGTATCAAGTGGATAGATGAAGAACATCTCACACACACATATGGTATACTCAATAAGCTTGTAATCAAATGTTAAAAATTGATTTTGCTCAAGCAGTTGTTGTAAGCAAATAAACAGACACACAAGTTGGCGTTAGAAGGAGATAGAAGAAGAGATCATCAGATGAAGGTTCATCGTCGTAATGATTGGAAGATGGAAAAGGAAAACAAGATGCGAAGAGATGTTTCAACTGATCTTTGAAGAAGCTTATTGGGTGGTGGTTGAAACAAGGAAAATCCTAAAAGTTCCTAAAAAGAAACAGACTTATAACTCTAGAGAAAAGAAACGATGTTTGAGAGTAAAAATGAAAACGAAGAAAGAGAGAGAGAGAGAGAGGGAGATGGAGATAGAGAGAGAGAGAGAGAGAGAGATGGAGGGAGGAAGAGCAAAAGAGCAAACTTCACAGAGAGAATGGATAGATGAGATTGAAAGAGAGTCAAATGAGAGAAAAAGAAAATTTGTATGTGTGAGAGAGATAGAAAAAGAATCTTTGTTAGTTAAGACGGCCAGATGAAAGAGAGAAATAACTGCTTCAGATAGTTTGAAAGCCAAGTAGAGAAACTATGAAGACAAGCTGGCTAACAGATACGACACAATCCCGACGGAATTGCAGGAAACGGCTGCTGATCGATTTGGCAAAGACGACTTTTCTCTATTTCGGGAGGAGTCATACTACAGCTACAATCAGAAAAAGCACTTAAGATTTCCCATTCGCATCACATTCAAATCCATTTTTTTATTTCATTTTCTTGTTTTTGTCACAAAAATTCTTTTTTCTTTCCCCCTTTCTCTCTCTCTCTCTCTCTCTCTCTCTCTGAATCGGAACGGGAAGTGAAGAAGAGGCAATGAAGAGTTATGCCAGAGATTCAGGATTTTCCTTGAATTCATAAGAACGACCGCTAATTCTCAATCATGAAATGCAACATGAACATGGAGCTATGATGTTTCATTCCAAACATCTTGAGATCTGTTGAACGGTTGGCACATGCACACACACACATACACATACACATACACTAACGATGTCATGACTATCACATCACAATAGGATGAAATGGAACTAAAGGACGAATCTCCTTTGGTGTCAATCGAGTTACTCGCCTTCAACATCGTTCGACCGTTAATTGAGAACTTTCTTCATCCCTTTGAGACACAAACGGAAAGAGGAACATCATCATCTGATTGGAACAAAAGTTCTGAGCGATTACTTCCTTTCAACCTTCTTCGCATGCTGGTAATCTCAGCTTATCAGAATACATTACGTCATAGATCATCTGAAGTATGGGGAACAACAATGTGCGTTCAGAGTTCAGAGCTGAATTGTTTTTTGTTCAGAGCTGAACTTCGAGCGCGCATTGTTGACAGGATATGCATGGAAACTGTAAGAAGCATCTCGTGGATCAGCTTCATCTACAGCCGTTCGAATCATCCATAAACCTCTGAAATCGCAGTAGTCATGTCTTTTCTTTGTTTTCAGTTCCAGTACTCTTACAGTAAAGTACCTGATGTGCCTTGTACACGTCTTGCACATTATCGATTTTCTGCATTTGGTATAAACCGTACATATCGATTGGCTGTTATGTGTTTGGCACTTTCCTGATTCTTCTCTATCATTCCCCCCCTACGTACTTGTTTTGATGTAATTACTTTGATATTCATAGTTTGTTTGTCTGAATATGAGAATCGAGAGAATCAGATCTCTTGTTTGTAACCGGAAGTAAAGGGTTGATTGAAGTTCGCAACATTGCACGTTCAAAGTTTATTTTTTCAAATCCTCAATGTATCGTTAGTGCTCGCTGCCCATTGCCCATATCGTTGAAGGAGTGTTGTCAGATTTCAAGCAGAATGTTAGTTTCATTTCATGAAAAGTTCCTCATTGCCATGGATCATCATGTCATATCACTCACTGGCCGATGTCATGATGATGGAAATGGAATTCTGCAGATACTTGTCAATTCTTCCATTTGTATAGCCATCTATGGTTATTGTTTAATCTATCTGTTCATTGATCATTGTCCTAACCACCTCTCACAACTACTCACTGAAACGAATGCTTGAAAATGACTTTTCCATCTCTCCTTTCACCTTTAAGTAATCTTGTGATCAATAGTATTCGTCTTGCGAGATTTCATATGTCTAACGTTCTCAGTTTTTCTTCGATGAGCAACTTCTTATTCCTCAGATAAGGTTACCATCCGACTCCATTATAGTTTCGGCCATTTGTAGTTCTAGTGTCGTGACTGAACTGAATTGTAATGAAGGAGAAGCGAGGTTCGAATCTCTTCAGTTAACATGTTCGGTTGATGTATGTTCCCTCTGAGTTAGACCTACAGTGATCTCGCCGTGAGCCACTCTGTTAACCAGAGTTCTTCCAATATGTTTTAAGAGCTGTTCATTGGCGTGAGCTCAAAATGAGTTTGAACGAACGGGCACAGTTTGAGAGAACAGGCCAGTGGTAGTCAAAGGCGGCTGGATATTCAACCTTGGAGCAAGTGAGGTTAGTAGTTTCCTTTCGCGACCGTAACGTGTATTCTTTCAGATCAGGAAACATGGTTTTACTCGAGCATTGGGTTTCTTTTCGATAGTGTTGGCAGAATCTGCCATCTCGATCAGTCATTGAAGTGGTTGTGAATGCTTCCGAATTACCTAAGGAGTTCATAATTGATTCCTCATCTTCCTTGAAGAAGTTAATCTAGGAATCACGAATTTGAAAATCGTTGTTTCAACCAAGACGTTTACTTTGAATAAATATTTTGGTTCGGATGTTAGTTCATTACTCGCAGTTGTAGTTATCAATGGTTGGCTTGTCATTATCTCGAACTAAGATCGTTTCAGTTCAAAAAGCTTCAGGATGGGATAATGTGCTTATCTCCTATCAGTGGAGAAAGGTGTAACGGAAGCTTCGGATTGATCAGAAATTATGTTTCACTTCATCAGGGGAAATAGAATAATGGTATACTCCAATTCCAAATAAGGATTGAGGCCACCTTGCCTCAATCCATTGCTAAAATACTTATCGCGTCGAGACTAATTTATGGAAATTTTAAAATGTTATGTCGGAGACTAGCTTGCCACTGAATTTGAGCTTTTCCAAGTTTAATTATTACAATTTTGAATAGAATGTTTTCTGGATTGCGTGTCGGAATGTTCCAGCGTTGATGTAAGACAAGCTTGATGAGGTTCGGTTCACACCCGTCTTGCGAAAGTTGAAGTGTTATATCCAATTGTAATAAATGGTTTGTTCTTGTTTGTTTTCTCGTGTTATTAACTGGTTGGAACCATTGTTACTTATTTTTATGAATTGATGAAGATCATACTTAGAAGCTATGTTATCACAGATGGTTTCATGAGTGCTACTATTCAGATGCAACCTATTGCCGCAGATTCACTGGGTGGTATGCTGATTGAATTCCTTCGTTACAGTTTTATCACAGTTGATAATTTTTGAAAAGTTGGTTTGTATTTATTCCGTCCTGATGAAGTCAGGAATGATTTCGTTAGGAACTATCTGGTTTCCATGGTCAGTTTTCTCATGTTCATCTCCGTCTCATTTCAACAGTCGTTTCAAAGAAAAATTTTAATTGAATTATTGGGCTGCTGTGAGCAGAGTTATGAACTTCTGACCAATGGTCTACCACACCGCTCACTCAAAAAGGAAATGAAGAATGAACTAGGTAAGAATGAGAATAGTTGCGTTACTTACCTACTATGGGCAGTTGTAAGAAATAGTACATCCTCCGTTCATGTTGTGAGCATTGATGGGAATTTCGTAGAGATGAACAATAATGTTAGTCTCACTTTCGTTCTATCGCATTGAAATAAATATTTTGTTAACTATTTGTGGTTGTTTTGATATCAGATGGTTGAATCCATTTTTACTTCTCAGTTCCAATTCACATAATATTCACATTCAAAGTGCATTGCTCAGGCTGAATGCAAGACGTAAGCTGCTTTGGGAAGGATTTCGATAAGAACTACATATTTCCCA